CGCCAGTATCTCCATCCACTGGGCCGTATCGTGGAAGCGGTAAAGGTAGTACTGGAAGTCCGCTGCATAATCAATTGCAATTCACCACTCAATCGGATTCCAGTTTTGGAGAATCAGGACAAGGATCTCAGGAGATAATTGGAAGGTTGGAGTTGGGGAACAGAAGGAGGATGAGCGAGAAATGAGAGTAACTGAGAAGAGATAGCATTCATGTCAAGACCCTCCTCATGCACGAGGGCCATTTGCATACGTATTGCAACCGGGTGACATTCAACTTCTGAATATTACTTTGCCGCATGCACATTCCTCCTGATCTCGCATGCTTCGTTGTCACTCGCCTTTCCGTTTGTACCCTTGCTTAACTCCCCCCGTTTCCCCTTTCGTTTGCTTTGCTATCTTTTTTACACTAACTTGGCATTTTTGTATTCGCTGCATCATTTCCTGTCATGTTTCTCCGTTCCGTCTCGATCACTCCATTCAATATCTGTCTTTTCACCGATTCTGTTACCACATCCATACCCTAAACCTAATCAATGCATTTTCTTCTTGTCCCTGTAGCATGTACTTTTCACATATCCCAATCTCTCTCCATCTCCACGTCTACTTAGGTTAGGCTGTATGGCTGTCGTTATTCACTCGTATCTATAACCAACATTGAATGCAATAGCTACAAACCATGTGTAGATGGTAAGTTTGTGTCTATTATGAGGGCGTCTCCACGAGTCCGTGGTCGCGTGCTGTACTTATTTCTGGTCGTGTGCACCAATCTTCAACTTAAGCTTAAGCTTTGTCGCACTATTTTTCCCACATCCTGAGGGTCTCCTTGTCTTCCTTCACAGGAGCCTACTCTTTTATAGACGATGCGCTGCCTATGCTTTTGCTCTCTCGGTCTATTGACTCTTTCTGCGCGTGCTGCGCATACATTCGGCCAGCAACAGCCATTCCTCTCTACAAGCCCAAAATTGGGTGGAGAATTGTACAAGTTTAACTTGACCCAAACAAAAGTCGACATTCTAGGACTCGCAGAGGGACACGGTCTTGACGTCTGGCATGTTTCCCCATATCAAGCTCACATATTTGTGCCATTCGACACACAAAACAGCTTGAACGGTCTGCCGGACGTTCTTCAGGCTATTCCACATGATATTTCCTCCATCCCCATTACCCGTCCATTGACCCATCCAACTCTTATTGATGAATGGGATCTATCGTCTCTCGAGAATACCACCTATCATTCTGTTTATCACCCGCTTCATGAAGTCAACTGGTTCGTTCATCAATTGGCAGAATCGTTCCCGGATAAGGTTAAGGTCGTCCAGTTGGGACACAGTGCCTTAGGGCGAGAGATGTTTGCTGTAAAACTATCGTCAGGAGCACTGGAGGATGATGAAGATGATGAAAAGAAGCCTAAACCACCTAAACCACCTAAACGGGACCGGCCGGGGAAGGAACGGGAATTAGATCCAAATAAAAAGCTCGGGTTTGTCATCGTTGGAGCACAACATGCTAGAGAGGTGAATTCTCAAGCTTTCCGTGTCAGCTTTCGGGATTCCAAATTGGTTCTATTGACAGTGGGTCGCGAAATCGGCGTCGACGTATCTTGCTCATGCCCTTGCGGTCGATTCGACAGAATCCTGGTCCTTGTCACACCTATTGGATGCCTTTGTCAGTAGCGATTACTTTCAAATACTCAAAGAACTAAGGCCCGTGGACATATAGGATTTCTATATCATTCCTAGCCCCAATCCAGACGGCTACGCTTATACATGGGAGGAAGATAGATTCTGGTATAAGAATCGTCAGGTAATTGGTCCGCGAGAAAAATGTGTCGGGGTAGATATGAACCGGTGCGTCATGGTTGATTGTTGAATGGTGGTCTAATTCGACCCATCGCATTCTAGAAACTGGGGATACAAATGGGAGCCATACTCTGTTGGGGAGGACTATCTTCAATCAAATCACTCTACTCCATTCTCGTCCGAGTTCCGCGAGAAAAAGTCCAAGCGTCCCCCTGCTGATCCGTGCTCTTTCTGGTACCCAGGTCATCGACCTTTTGAGTCTCCAGAGGTCAATAATATCGCCAATTGGGCGGGAACCCTGCCAAATTTAGTTGGGTTAATAGAGTTGAGGGCCTATGGGCAGATGTGTAAGTCACTTGTCTCTTTTTTCTCCACTCTTCCTCGACCTCCAGCCGCATAATTTCCTACACCGATTGCGCAATTCTGACTCCATTGAATGTAGTGTCCACCCCCTTCTCATATAGCTGTAATCACTGGCCTTTTGATCTCGAAGACCAGACGGAGGCTGGAGAAGGAGCTGTGATGAGTCTGAAACATGTCCATGGCACGGTATTTGAGGTAACGACAAAATCATTACGCCTTTCTTTGTTTTAATCATATCCAACTGCAGATCGATTCTCTCTGCTCCAATCTATACCCTGCGCCGGGCAACATGATCGATTGGATGTACAAACGACTTGGGATCAAATATACGTACGTAGCGCACTTGAGAGATACAGGAACCGTGAGTCTTTTCTCGAGGTCTCTCGCCAGCTGTTCTAACGTTTATGGTCATAAAGTACGGCTTCGCCCTACCTGCTCATTTCATACGACCCGTAGGCGAAGAAACAGGTGCTATGATCGAGTATCTGTCGAAATTCATCAGAATACAAATGAAACGCTTCCTGTGATGCGTTTATCTGGGTATACCGGTTTCGTGATCGTGTATTGGTATTTTTTACTAGTGTCTGTAACTGTTTTTCGTTTTTCGTTGTTATTGAAGAAACGTCGACTGTAGGCAGTGATATGATAGCAAGCTAGAGGTTGTTGACGCCAGGTTGACTCCCTGCGGTTGACCACATGCACGCAGTAGGGTAGTACGACTGACGCCTGAGGACTTTGACTGCCGTAATATCAGCATCTCCACCTCGTTCAATGTCACAACTGACATTGACCAGGGCTGCGCTGACTGCTGAGCGCTGAGTACTTCCTGACGCTTCCCTTACGGTTCTTTCCTACCTTCATGTTCTGTGCTGGTTGGCCGGTGGCGTTTCATACTCATAACGTTTCCCTTCTCTGAATCGATTCTGTTCTTCCTTGGTTTCCCATGCCGGGCTTTTCCAGTGCTCTAGGGAAAGTGCGTATGCCCTTTTCATACTCCCACTCCGCTAACACGTCCAATTTTAGCTCATCGTGCATGGCCAGAAACTCGTGATTTATCCCGCTGCATTTGAAACGGAACAAGAAAGGCGTGCGTTCGTTTTGTTGACATTTTCTCTAGCCTCAGTTAATTCTTGAATTATACAGTTTCAGCTTATGCATTTCCCTCGGACTTACCTCACGAAGATGTAGAACTAACGACTTCAGATGGAATAACACTGAAGTGTCTTTTACTACGGGCTGGGCAGAGGAGTAGACTAAGTCTTCAATCTGAGCTTGGTAACGGCCTTCCTACTTCTCAGGTGTGTTTTTCCCTAACCTCAGACTATTGAGATACCTAATCTTAAGGCTAGTCAGGACTACCTCGCGCGACTGTGATCATGTTTCATGGAAACGGTTACCATGTTTGGCACCATGCTTTCAGTGGGGCGAGGTTCGTCGAACTTGGGTGCGATGTCCTATTAGTCAGTTATAGAGGGTATGCCTTGAAACTGTGGATTGGGATTCGAGGTCGTGTCTTTGACTTGTTCTGTTTTGCAGTTACGGTTTTTCAGGTGGAACTCCTTCGGAAAAAGGTCCGTGTCTGAGAATACTCCAGAGAACCTTCTTACGTATCCATCCTCAGGGCTTCAAAGAGACTCTCAAGCTGCGTTAGATTATGTCCTGGCCCATCCGGAACTCAAGAAAAAGCCCATCGTACGCCACTTCAATCCCCCACCGATCAAGTCGCGTCAATTGAATTCTGTTCCCAGGTTGTTCATGGTCATTCTCTAGGAGGCGCCGTGTCAATTGACCTTGTACACCGTAATCCAGACAACGTGAATTCTGTTTTCTCTTCATGAACATTAACGAACTTTAATGAACCATCTACCCTCAGACTCACGCTATCATCATAGAAAACACCTTCCTCTCTATACCTGCGGTTGCAAAGGACCTTCCTGGTATACGTCACGTCACCTTTGCAATCAATCAAACATGGGAATCGCAACGTCGAATCGTAGCCATACCAAGATCAATACCTATTCTCATGTTTTCTGGGTCTGATGATGAAGTCGTACCGCCGTCGCATATGAAGAAACTATGGGAAATTTCGAGGACAAGATGGAGAAGTCGAGAGGAGAGACATTCGTCGATTTCGTGTTTTGGGAATAAGGCGTTTTCCTCGGGGAAGGAGGGTGTAGGTGAAGATGCATACGGTGGCGAGGAGACAGGTGATAGAGATAATACTGGACTAGATGTTTTTGAGACTATACCTGATGGCACTCATGGTGAGTTTGCCACTCGCTTCTCTAGTGTCAAACTCTTGATTTTTCCTTCTTCTGAATTAACAGCCGATACGTGGGCCAGACCTGGCTATTGGTCCGCTATTAACGACTTTTTAGGACGTCTTTCAAAACTTGACTCTCCAAGCTGATTTTACGGTCATTATCAAAGCGCACTTTCCATCAATTCGTTATATCATGGCTACCATCGACGTCGAACGAATATCCTAATTACTGAGTATATACCCTATTTCATGACTATATATCAATCTCAACATAATACACCTTCGATTGAAGAAAGATCGGACATTGCCACCATATTCAAAGGATATGCATACTGCACGGTATTTAATTGCGATCTACACGACACCAGGCATGTTTAATCTCAAGTCTCTGCAGCTCTTCCAGCTTCTTAGACTCACTGCGAGTATGAACCATCCATTCCGTTGGTTCAACACACCGTTCAAAGGAGCCTTTCCCGAGCTGATATTTAAGAGGAGATATTTGTCTTCCTTCAATACACTCACCGGTAATTTCCCAAGCGCGCAGAACCACAAAAAGGAATAGTTGCTCTACATCACTCCCTGGCTGGGAGTCGAACCCAGCTTTCGCGCGACTTATGGCCAATTGCTATGACAGGCGCGTGTACTAACCGATATACTACCAGGGATGTAAATGAATCTAATCTACGCTTTGTCTAAACACAAGTAACGACGACGCAGCATCGTCGGAGCAAAATTCAAAAAGATGACCGCAATTGGTGCTGATGGAAAGTACTAATTGAAGGTGCAGGCCGCAAAAATGAAAAGGTATCACGGTTGGGATGTTGTAGGTATCAAAAATGTAAGGAGCGTAAGGGTCATAAACAGATGAGTAGTATAAAGATGTAAAAAATAGAACAAGCAGAGTCGTAACTGTCGTGCATTGGACCCTAGACGGCCTAGAAGCCCAAAGGAAGAGAGATCGTAAAGATGGTCGCTTACCGTCACTGCTCGTCCAGGCCTTGTCCCAGTTGGACGGATGTTCTAAAAATCCCTATCAATAGATCGAAGCTGCGGCTGAACACCTAACCCGACCCAACCAAACACCTTCTCTCTCGTCTCTCTCGTTACAGTTCCGACGCCTGTGTACTCGCGGTACTTTCCTACAACATTCCTCCTATACTCCCGAAGTCTGATCCGGTATTCGTTGAGACTACCCCCACGGAGCGTATAAAGCTGAGCCATGGCCCTCTCATGAGTGCCAGTATGTTGTCCGGGTGCGATGCGCCATCTGTCGAAACGAGAGCGTAAACGATGGTAGTAATGTCGTGCCGTATACGTTGCTGGATGTGGATACACATGTCCAGGCGGTACAACGACAGGACGGCGAATAGCGGCCAAGGCCTTGCGGGTCGACGTGGGGGTTGGTGTTGCCGTCTCGTTGGTGGAAACCTTGCAGTTCATCTCAACGGTCTTGACCTGTCCTTCGTCTAGTTTCGCTTCTTTGGATTTCTTGGCTCTCTTCGCGAACCCCTTGATGCATCCGACAAACCAGCTGATATGTAGAGGGAGTACGCCTAGCAGAATTCCGCTGATTGCGAATGAACCTCCGGAAACATGGTTTCGGACATCTGAAAGAGCGTAGGAGACAGCCAGAATGATGTGGAAAAGTATCCGAGTGAGGAAGAAAATGACAGCGAAAATGACGTTGGAGCGTGTCTTGGGAACGAGAATAGAGAGCCCTAGAATAAATGTAGGGAACTGGGAAATTGTCAGTTTCTCCAGATGCTCATGACAAGTAGATTGAAAATTTTGGGAGGGTTTGCCTGGAGGTGATTGGATGTGGTCGTGGAAAACAGATCGAATTATAGAAAGACACTGACCTCCATGAAAGCAGCGAGACAAAAGACATGAGGCCACTGTTGTCTAACGGCGAATTCAACAATGCCCACATAGACAATATGGTGCACCCATCCTGTAAGAAGGGTTATCTGGTTTCTGTAGTAAAAGGACCCTGCTATCAAGTCGCTGCTTGGCCAATCAGTTGCCAAAATCATATTGTTATAAAAACAGAGTACTCACGCAAACAGATAACTTTGGAAAAATCTATTTGCAGCGAGTGCTAACAATGACCGCGCCTCTACCCCCTTGAGGCCTTCTCCCGTCATTCGCCACAACTTCCAACCCAAGTGCGAATCCAAAGTCCCCGAAATGAAGTCCCAAAGAAACGGCAGGCTACAGAGGGTCATAGTAGCGCTAGCTATGGTGGTGATGATCCATGAATTCTGTTTCTGAACGGGGTACCGGAAAGTGAACACTTGGTGAAGAACAATGAGGAAAGCCATGGAGGTGAAGAAGACGAGGAGGTCGGTGGTCGTGAAAGTTGGAGAGTGAAACATGATGGGGACACCGAGGGAGCTGAGACCTACCCAGAAAGGAGTGGACGGTGAACAGGAAACCTAAAGAGAGGGGCGGCTGAAGAACCAGCGGTTTTAACGACCCTTGGTGGCAGAGCACGTTCGTTTTTGCGTCTCTCCAACATTCGCCAAAGCGGAAAGGAGCTTCAGTTCGGTTATCCGTAGAGAACTAAAAGGGTTAGAAGGAACCAGGTCCTGGACATTGACACTGACTGTATCCTTGATATGTCGATTCCAGTCATATCTAGCGAGATAAACACGGATCATTTCAAGGAACGTGTGCAGGGCGTGAGATAAGCTGGAAATGAACGTTTTGAAACCCGACGATGAGGGTGGTGGTCAAGTTTTCAGATTTCTAAAGCCAAGGGCCTTGCGTTCATAGAGATTGTGGGTCAGCACACTGGCTAATTCAGACGCGCTTTCATCCCCACTTGTGCAAGCCATTCTGATGGAGGTGGCAATGCCATCTATGTTCTCAACTTTGCCTTGCCTTTCTCCAGTCCACCCAGTCAGAGTGCTCTAGGTTATTACACGTTCTTGGATTCATCGGCGATAGCCACGCTCCTTCTTCCCGTCGGTGGGAACAGCGTGGAACCAGAACGAATCGTAGAATTCGGATTGCTTTTTCAGGAATATTTAAACCTTGTAATTAATGTGAAAGAACCCCATGCTCTCATACAAAAAATGATCCCTATTCATAGATCATTCAATCATAGCCGGTCAAAGCCCCGAAGGTCCATCACTAAACTTCACATTGAAACTGGAGACCGCAATTGAACTGATTTGACCAGAATGAGATGTGCGCTACTCACCTTGTGGGATCGTACTTAAGGTACGTCCTCTTCAGAAATTCGTACTGGTTGTACGTCTTAAATACTTCTTGCTCCTTGTCGCATTCGTTTACATATAAAGGTAAACCGGGAGTCGGAGGGAGACTGAGAAAGGATCGAGGTGAGCTCCGAATCGGTAACTGCAATATATGAGGGGCTTGCCTCTCAAACCATCGCATTCTTGCGTCATTGAGCAGTTCTAGCTCCTGATTACTTGCTCCAGGATTGACAGAAACCTGGTATTGGACGGCATTATACCCGTCTAGCGGTGGATCAAACGCATTCCCTCCTCGTCCCCGACCAGCTCGAATCTGTTCGTCCCGAACAGGCGTAAAAGCCACTATAGTTGTATTTATTATATTCCTGAACTCTTCGGTAATTTTTCGTTGGGATTGAACAGCCTCCAGATATCGCTGTATCGAATCGTCCCTGCCGAATGCTGAAGCACCAAAGAACTGACCTTGTCCCAGTTGTGCAGGCCCTTCAGCCAAGAGATGAACAACATTGACATAAGATAAAGATGCTAGGGACGAGGCTAACGTTGGAAGTGCTAGGAACTGAGAAAAGGTCGCGTTGAAGAGACGTTCTGTTTCTTCTGTGGGATGCCCGCCTTCACCACCATTATAGAAGAGGAAGGCGAACGGCATCGTCGTGACTGTGTGTGTTTCCTGGGAGACTATATTGGCGATACAAGCAAGTATGACTAGTAAAAAGACTTCTCAGACGGTGTCAACAAAGAAGGAGAGAAGGACAGACCAGCATGTGAATCTCGGCTCTCCCGTAGAAAATTAGCTGTAGCCATCAAAAAACCTTCGGTAGCCGAGTCTAAATACTGTCACGACAACCGAGGAAGTTAGAAGATCGGTGTCAGAAAAGAGCAAATAGAAGATTTCCACCGATATCATGCCACCAAACCACCATCTATCCTGTCTTCGTCCGGTCTGAATAGCAGCGACCTCATACCGAGTAACAATTCCAAATCTATTCGCGCCTCCTTTCAAAGCTTTGAATAGATCACTGTACTCATTATCCACTGTAACGGTGACGAGTCGTCCATCAACGAGAACGACATCGAGCTCGATAAATAAGTCGGCGCCAAACCCGTGTTTCGGAGAAAGGAAGCTAAGCCCACCCCCGAGAAGGAGACCAGTGCCAACGTCGCTGTCACAGATTGAGATTTTTTCCGGAGAATTTGAAGAGAAGAAAGCCGAGAGGAAATTTCTCACCTCACCCGTCCCCCAACGGGTGCAACCCCGAGGGGTTCCAGAGCGTCAGCGGCCTCACCCCAACGAACTCCCGGCAACAGAGTTATCGTGTTCCGTTGGGGATCATACGACACGTCGTTCATGAATGTAAACATGATCAATATCCCGTTCTGGACACTACGAGATATATATATTGACACTAGGAGTCAAACGGAATTTAAATCGCGCACCTATTCCATCCCTTCATAGCACTGTGACCTCCGGCCTGAACCGCATAACGAACTCGGAATTCGTAAACCGTTTTCATGGCCGTCTGGACATGAGATGCCTCTCGTGGAAATACGACACATGCAGGCATGTATTCGGTATTAAACACATTCCAAGCGGAGCGGGTCCCATTGGTGTATTGGGGATCGTCCGGAAGAGACACGATTTGAGGAGTTAAAGTCCATTGAAGAACTCGACACGCAAGCGACGCGTCGACGGCTCCCGAACTGGGGGGTGGTAGGATCTGTGCTGTGATGGCAATAAACGGTGAACAGAGCAGGAGAATGCCGAGTGTCCAACAAAAGAGTAACGATGTATCGGAACACATCGTAACTCTCGCCCATGCGGTTAGAGGGGTAGCTGTATAATTGGGGGGGGGGCAAAAATATGAGAAAGGGAATCAGAGCCTTTAAAAAGTACTACACTCCATCGTGGGAGTTCCTTTCACATATGTAGGCAAAGATCCAGAAAATGAGATCAAACGGCAAGATCGTGAAGTCGATATATTAACGCGGGCTAGCGGCCACTCGCGGGTGTTAAAGCTTTAGCCAGAACATAGGAATGAAACAAAACCACAAGCTTAACCTTCTCTGGAAATCTCTGACGGATTGAAAGACCGAGAGTTATCAACGAAGGGAGGAGGCGTGAGGTTTACTGAAAAAACATGGCATAAACAGGGCAAAAGGAAATTGGAATGTCAGCTGTCCCCGGCTCGGCATTTTTCAAAGAACAGATGTGTAAAAAGTGTAGTAGAAGCCGGTACTGGGATACTTCGAGGCTCAAGGGGCGTGCACGAAAGTCAATACGAATCAAGGCACCGGGAAGCTGGGAATCGGCTTTTAGACAGGTGAAACGCCAATACACAGAAGGATGACCGCAAACGATAGTTGTAGTAGAATCGACAGGTACAAGGGGCATACTTGGGCACAAAATGAGACGAAACCAACGTAAAAGTGCCTCATTTTCCTTC